ACAACGTTGAGTTAGCAGATCCTCAGACTCTCTAGACTTCCTGTTAACAAGAAATGTCTTTATAGTCCAAAGTGGAGTAAGTCATACATTGTTACTTGTAGCAGAAACTATTCCTGATACAATGTTTAATAGGACTCCCGGAAGAAGCGATGGGAAAGAATAGTGTTTAAACAATAAAGATATACTTAGTGAAAATTTTCCTAAATTAAAGAAAGATTGACTCCTTAGAGTGAACATTATAGGTACTGAGTGTGAACACTGTAGCTACTGAGCAGGAGGAAAAAATATACATATCTGTATATTCATACCTGAATAGAGCATAATAAAGTTGCAGGGGACCAAGGTATCAGGTAAAATCTTAAAGGCTACTAAGGAAAAAATAGTCTACCTATAGAGGAATGAAAATTAGACTCAACAGAAAAATTTCTGTAGTTATACAACCTGGATATAAAGCCAAAAAAGTATAGTACAAAGAAAGAAAATTACAGGCTAATTTCACCTAAAATATATATGCAAAGGTCTTAAAATATTAGAACAGAATTCAACATTATATTTTACAAAATAATCACAATTAAGCAGTTCACCCAGAAATTTACTCATGATTCAACATTAGAAAGTTAACTGATGAAATAAACCACATTTTCAAATTAATTATCTCAACAAATGCATAAAAGTCATTCATAAAATTTATACTCCTTCATAATAAAAATCTGAGCAAGGTAAGGAGATAGAAGTTCAAAAGGAAAGCTATTAAAAACAGAAAAGCAAACATCATACTTAATAGTGAGATTTGAGAAGCATTCCGATGAAAGTCAGGAGCAATACAAGGATGTTGGTTATCTATGCTGGCTTATTTGTAAGTGATAGGACTGTCAGCATGGAACACAAGAGAAATTTCAACTAAACTACCAGAACAAATTAAGTCTAACTTATGCTAGATATAAAAGATGGAAAAGTACTTCATGGAGATAGTTATAAAACATTATTTAAGGCAAAAAAAGGTCCAAATTCTCATAAAGTTCCAATAAAAATCCCAGTCTTTTTTATAAAGGGTAAATATAACAAAGGCAATTTCGAAGAACAGCAATGTGTGGAGGCTGTTGACATACCAGGTATCAAAACTTATTAAAAAGACAGTGTGGGGGTGCCTAGGTGGCTCAGTCGGTCGAGTCCAACTCTTGATTTCAGCTCAGATCATGATCTCAGGGTTGTAAGCAGGGGTCCCTCAGCAGGGATTCTGCTTGAGATTCTCTCCTTCCCCTTCTGCCTCTCCTCCTACTTGTTCTCTCTAAAATAAATAAATACAATCTTAAAAAAAATAAGACAAGAGTGGTGCTAGCATAAGAACAGAAAGACCAGTAGAACATATGGGAAAGTCCTCCAAACAGAACCACATATTTAAGAAAACTTAACAGGATGTAGATAGCATTATAAACTAGTACAGAATAGATAAATTAATGGTACTGGGATACTTATCCCCATGGGGGGAAAATATATATTCTCTATTTTGCATTGATTTTGTACAAGAGAGTCAGTTCCAGGTGGGTTAAAGGTATGAATGTGAAATGCCGAACATTTAAAAAAATAAGAGAGAGAAAAATTTTCTTGATCTGAGGCAGAAAGGGTTTCTTAACCAAGACATAAAAAAACAAACAATAAAATATGAAAATTTTGGCTATATTTAAATTAAAAGTATCTGTACAACAAAAATGAACATGAATATAAATAAAGAAGACAAGCCACAGACTGAAAGAAATTGAAAACATACAAAAATAGAATTAGTATGAATAAAGGACTCTTAACAAGTTAATAAGCAAACCTAAAGCCAATAAAAAAGTGGGCAAAAGATATCAACAGAAAACATTCAAATGGCTAATTTAACATTCAAAAAGATGCTCAATCTTATTACTAACCAGAGAAGTGCAAATTAAAAATTAAATATCATTTCACATCCATTAGATTGGCAAATTCAGAACTAAAAAATAATATCATCAAGTGTTAGAAAGAATGTAGAGAAACAGAACACCGTGCCAGTGAAAATGTAAAAACTGGTATAAAAAACCACTTTGGGGAGCAACTTGGTAATAGTACTTGAAGCTAAGCATACCCACCACCAAGCAATTCCACTTCCAACAACACATTATTAGAAAACCCCCTGGAGGGGCACCTGGGTGGCTCAGTCGTTAACCGTCTGCCTTCAGCTCAGGTCATGGTCCCAGGGTCCTGGGATAGAGCCCCACATTGGGCTCCACACTCAGCAGAGAGCCTGCTTCTCCCTCTCCCACTCCCCCTACTTGTGTTCCCTCTCTCACTGTGTCTCTCTCTGTCAAATAAATAAATAAATAAAATCTTAAAAAAAAAAAAAAAAGAAAGAAAGAAAAGAAAACCCCCTGGAAATGTGGACAAGGAGAAAGGCACAAGAACGGTCACTGCAGGGGTGCCTGGGTGGCTCAGGTCATGATCCTGGGGTCCTGGGATCAGGCCCAGAATTGGGCTCCCTGCTCTGCCGGGAGTCTGTTTCACCCTCTCCTTCCCTTCCTCTCCCCTGCTGCTGCTGCTGCTCTCTCTCTCTCTCAAATAATCTTAAAAAAAAAGAGAATGGTCACTGCAGCAGTTTAATACATAATTAATACTTTAATACCTATAACAGAAGAGTTTTTTTTTTTAATTCATTCGAGACACAGAGATAGAGCGAGAGAGAGAATGAGCAGGGGGAGAAGCAGACTCCCCGCTTAGCAGGGAGCCCGATCCGGGGCTCTATCCCAGGACCCTGGGATCATGACCTGAGCCGAAGGCAGACGCTTAACCATCTGAGCCACCCAGGCGCTCCAAAAGAACAGTTTTTTATACAATAGAATATCCTACAGCAAATAAAATGAACTACAGCTATATGTATGAACAAGATAACAAAGTCAATAATATGTAATGGAAAAACATTTTGCAAAATGATACATAGTTTGAACATATTTATATAAAATCTAAAAACACACTAAACACTATATATACAGACATACATATAACACACAAACCTAAGTACTAAGGTATAAAATAAAGTATACAAACATAATTGGGTACACTGAACACCAAAAAGGGACAGTAGTTATAGCAGGAAAGAAGAATGGGAGGCTTAGCTGTTTCTGTAATTTTTATTTTTAAAGATTTTTTTTTATTTATTCATTTGAGACACAGAGATATATATATAGAGAGAGCATGAGCAGTGGGAGAAACAGAGGAAGAGGGAGAAGCAGACTCCCCGCTGAGCCAGGAGCCCAATGTGGGGCTCGATCCCAGGACCCTGGGATCATTACCTGAGCCGAAGGCAGACGCTTAACCATCTGAGCCACCCAGGTGCCCCTGTAATTTTTATTTTTAAAAAAATCTGAAAAAAAATGAGGCAAATCTCGAAAAAAAAATTTTTTTTAAAGATTTTATTTCTCTCTCTCTGAAAGAGAGCAGAGAGAGAGAGAGAGAGAGCACCAGTGGGGTGAGGGGCAGAGGGAGAAGCAGACTCCCCGTTGAGCAGGGAGCCCAATGCGGCTGGATCTCTGAACTCCGGGATCATTACTCGAGCGGAGGGCAGACGCTTAACTGACTGAGCCGCTCAAGGGCCCCTGGAAAAATTTTCTTAAAGTTAAGTGTGAACACACAAGTATTCATTGTCTTACACTCAACCAGTCTCTACGTGTTTAAAATTCACAATGAAAAAAAGTGGGAAAATGGTTACTTTTACATAAACATAACTTTAAAAAGATGCCAGAGTAGGGGCGCCTGGGTGGCTCGGTTGGTTGGGCGACTGCCTTTGGCTCAGGTCATGATCCCGGAGTCCTGGGATCGAGTCCCGCATCGGGCTCTCTGCTCGGCAGGGAGTCTGCTTCTCCCTCTGACCCTCCTCCCTCTCATGCTCTCTCTCTCTCATTCTCTCTCTCTCAAATAAATAAATAAAATCTTAAAAAAAAAAAAAAGATGCCAGAGTATAAAACCTGTCTTCCAAATAGCTGTCAAAATTTTTTTTAAAAAGTCAAACCACTCGTAAAAAAGGTAGCAGGAAGTGTCGCCCACCTTAACAGTATAATTAAAGCTTATTACTTGTTATGTATCTATCACTATTAAATTAAGTTGCTAATGTGTTCAAGCATCTTGACATTTAAATAAGGATTACAAGATTTTATAACATAGCAGAAATACATTCCAGTATATTGGAGACTTTTATGTATTAGGTAAACCTACTACGGTAGGTGATCTGCCATTCGAATCTCATCATCTAAATTCAGACGTCCAGATCCACCCAACATGAAACACACAAGGCTGTGAAACTCTTCTTTCATTGTATTTTAGCCTTTTCCCCATTAAACACTCATTAAAAACAAATAAAAAACCACACAGGCCTTAGAAAAGTGACACGCTATTTACACAAAGGCCATCCACTGGCCTTGGACTTAGAACTCCCGCTTGGAAGTTGCTTCTCCAAATCCTTATCCAAAACATTGCTGAGTTATGCTGAAAAACAACGCGAAGTGTATAGGCTTGGGTTCCAGTTGTGTAAAAGCGACCTTTTGTGCTTTCACCAACTTCTCGAGAGGTTGTTAAAAGCTTTGGGGAGACTTTGCTCCCTGTCCAGCCGGGGCTGGGCAAGTGCCAGCTACTCTCATCTGCGAAAGACCGAAAGTCTAAGGCTTTTAAGGGGGTCAAGCAGTTCTGTCACGGTGTTCCGCTAACAGAAAGGAGCAGGAAGCCGCCCCCTTTCTTCCAAGCACCGGGACCCAGTGAGGCGCCCAGGGGCTCCCTGGAGTGTATCCGTACCGAGAGCCGTCCAGTCAGAAACAGCTGTCTGACATCGAAATTCCCCACACTGGCGTCCTTTCCCTACCTTGAACCCCTCAACGTTGAGGGCTGGTTGAGAGGGGGAGGGGACACCTCAGCGCAACAACGGCCTCAACCGTCTCCCGCCAAGTCCCCACTCCGGCCCACCAAACCCGCGGCCAGAAGAATCCCACACTCACTGGAAAGTAGGGCCAGGTCCTGGTCCTGGCCCGGCCCCAGGAATTCGGCGGGTCTCCCACGGTTTCGGGGGAGGAGGCGGCTGGGAAGCCATCGCCTCCGCCTCAGCTCGGCTCTTGGTTGGCGCTGGGACGCCTCAGGCCCGGGTACACTAGCACCTCACGCGCCAGGCAGAATGGGCAGAACACCGAGTCCTCCACCCCGCCCACCCCTGCAGTTAGGATGTCGCTTGTGGTACTTTGCCAGCTGGGACCTGAGGAAAGGAGGACGCCGCTAATCCACCGGGGTGGGGAATACTCTCTTTTTATTTGCCTTAGCAAGAATTTCCATTCTAAACCTGAGGGTGAGGGCTCATCGATATTTCTGGCAGCGGCTAGGACGCCCTAGACGTCGGAGTCCCACGGAGGCCTCTCTGGGACTAGTCGGGCTCTGGCCCGGAGTTCAATCCCACGCACTTGTACCCCAGCGTGGGTGGCGGTGGGATGAAGGGTTGTGGCGGCGCGACAGGCAGTTTTTTTGGTTTCTCCACAAACAAGAAGAGGAGAGAGTTCACTCAGCCCTTGCGAGAGGGCCTGGTACTTTCGTTCTAAAGCTTTCGTTTCCTCGGGGAACAGAATTGCTACACGCAGTAGGTGCGTTATCTTTAGTCTTCCCTGTTCCCTCTGGGGGGCTAGAAGGGGTTAAACCTCAGGCTCCGGCGTCGCGGTAGAAGGTGAGGCAGGAAGGTCTAAGGGGTGGGGGTACGACTTGGGCGCAGGAGAGGTGTGGATGGAGGGGATAGTTTCCTTCCTGCTGGAGCGGCCTTGTTAGCAAGGAGGGGTGAGCGGGAAGTTTCTTGGACCTGACTGAGGGAGGGGAAGGGCTTTCTTGGCCAAAGACTGGAGGTTAGGCCTTGGATGAATTTCCAAGAGTCTAGATTCTACAACTGAGTATAACGGTAGCACAATAAAGTTGTGAGGGTCGCCTTTGAAAAATCCGCACACTCCCCCACCCCCGTGAGACAATGACACACGGCTGTATGGAAATGAGTGTTGAAAGATCACGGGATGTGAGACTTAGTCTGGCCATTTTGGTGTTTTTTCACATGCCCCGCTCCTTCTCTATTTGCAACGAATGGTTTCTCTAAGTCCAAGAGGTGAAAAGAAAGTCCATCGTCTCCTCCAGTTATCATTGGTTCGTGGGGAAGGGACTCAAACCCCGTAAAGATCCGACACGTGGGAAGAGATTCTGTTGCGATGACTAGTTCCAATTCTTTATGTAAAAGAAGCACTTAAACGAAAATCTTAACGAAGGCAACCGACAATGAAAACCTTACAGTATGGGATGCATTTCTCAGGGCTTGCTTTCAAGGATAATAAACCTCATATGGAACAACTGATTTCTGATGACTTCTGAAATCCTTTCAGTGCTGTACGTCAAGATGAAACAACCAAATTTGAGACAGAACGCGTTTCCTCCTTTTAATGTTAACTTGTTTGAGAAGTCTCTTGATTGTTGCTAAAGGAAAATAATCTTGAGGGTTTGGAAGACCATGCCGTTACTGACACATACACACTGAAGAGGGTTTTTGTTTTTTTAAGACCTCTTCAAATTACTCAGGACAGGAGGTTTCCTAATTCTCAACAGGTTTGGGAACTTCTCAGAGCCAAGAGATTGTGATATGTCATTTATTGACTTTGCATAATACCTTTATTCTTAGTGTACCTATTGGAGAAGTAAACATTCAGTCTTTGAACCAAAGGAAAGAAAGCATCCATTTTCTTCAATTAAAAAAAAAAATTTTTTTTTATTTAAGTGTACTTACACAATGTTACATTAGTTTCAGGTGTAAAACATGGTGATTCAACTTCTGTATATGATATTCTGTGCCCACCACAAATGTAGCTACCATCTGTTACCACCCTATAACCTATTACAAATGATTGCCCTTTATTCTGGTAACTTATTCCATAATTGGAACTGTATTTCTCACTCCTCTTCCCTCTGGCAACCATCAGTTTCTTCGTTTTTAAAATTCCACTTAGGGGTGAAATCATATGGTATTCGTCTTTCTCAGTCTGACTTATTTCATTTAGAATAATAACCTGTTCAGTCCATCCATGTTGTTGCAAATGGAGGGATCTTATCCTTAGAAAGCATCCATTTTAATAATAGTATTTAACTTCATCCCCAGGGAAAGCTTTGATACAACGTGTTCTTTCAAGAACTTACTCGTGTCCTTATTTACCCAGAGGGTTTGTTTCTCTTTCTGAATTAAAGGTTAATTCTGAATTAAATGAAATCTTTGGTCTTAAGTAATGGAAAGGTGGAGAAAAGATAGAGTGAGACAGAAATAGTTTCTCTGGGAGGGGATTGCAGTCAGGGATATACCTTAAATGCTGAGAATCAACCCCTCACTGAATCCCAACCCTTTCTCAGAATCAAACTAGCAGATTAAATGGCCTGGCAGAAGGAATTCAGATCATTTGTATATAATGATGACCACACAGAGCTTCTCTATATACAAGGTGTTCTCCACATAATTCTGTCCTTTTGTGAAAATGCCCTTGAGCCCAAATTTACTTAGGCTACCCTAAATCAGAGCTTTAATCCTGTGTCTCAGAGTTCTCACTGGTGTATCCAGGCAAAGTCTTATTTTCTTCTTTCTCTTCCTGTTTGCCAGCTCCCATACTGTATTTACCTGAATTGAAACTCAGCAGGAGGCAATCTGTCTTTTGTAGTCCTAGCTGCTAAACTGATTTTTATGGTGAAGGGGTTTGTGGAAGTATATACCTGCCTTCCTCATTATTTTGTGTCAAGGATATTCTCTCAATAAGTGGCCACAAACATTTAGAAATTTGCAAGTAAGGAGTGGGTTTTAAAGGGTTGGAAAGTACAAACTAATTCTAAGAATCACATCTTCACAGTAAGGAGTTGGTAAGAGCTCCACCCTCCCACAAATTTTAAGCAAGTTCATTTGAATTGTGAAACTGCATGAATTAAAAAGCACCAGTTTTTTATCTGTATGACCACCATACCACAACATTGCCATGCAATCATTATTTTATAAAATATTGTTAGTTCCTCATTTTAAAGTAATGTGAGCTGATTTATTAATCAGAAGAACTGTTTTTGCAAAACAGAATAATTAGGTAATTTAATTTTCGTACACCTCCTTCCTGGCAACAGGAGAGTTATATTGGATTTTACTCCATTCTCTAATTTGTTTCTAAGGGCATTTATTCAAATTGTGAAAAGTAACAGCTTGTTTTAGATGATAATTACTCTAAATTATTTTGCATTTAATTTGTGGGGGTTTTTCTGGTGGGGGGAGGTTTTACTTGTGCATGAAAGGAGCAGATTCTTCTCATTTTGCTAATAGTTGGTTTCATTTAGTTATTTTGTCAAAGTATAATCGATGTCCTTAGATCTACTGATCAATTTGTTTTAAATACTTGACTGCTTAACTATCATTGAGGCTAGTAAAATATATAGACTGATCTAATTATTTTTTCCTGGCAAACTCATTTTTAATTTCTAATAGGAAAAGTTTATTGAATTTACTACTTTATGTTCTCAAACAACACTGAATGGTACAAAATAACAAAACATCACTCTGTATTCTTTGTTTTTATTACCCTCCTCAGAGACAACCATTCTTGATTATTTTTATTTTTATTTATTTTTATTGATATACTTTTATCATAAGCCAGAATGCTACACTAAATTCCTTGATAATTAGAAACTTTTACCTGGCCCATCTAATAAATGTCTTTCAAGTTTATGTTTCAATATGCATATAATGAAAAGGATATTATTGGAGAGTACAAAATAATGTTTTCAAATAAAAGTTAGTTTTTATCCCTAAAGGTGATGACATATTTCCCTGTGAAAGTAAAACACAAAAGATGTTCATTACTTTTTCTTTCTTTCTAGTTATAATTATTCAATATGTTTCCACTGACTGAGGAAAACAAGCATGTGGCCCAGTTGTTGCTCAGTACTGGTACCTGTCCAAGATGTATTTACAGATTCTGTGGTGTGGATTTTCATGCACCTTACAAACTTCCCTACAAGGTACTTTCATTTTGTTTCTAAAGAAAGTTCTCTATTCTAAAATGAATACCTGTACATTTGAGGGCAAGTATCTGTCCATAACTCTTCATTAAATTAAAAAAACTATAATAAAATAATTACTGATAATGGTAAATTTGGAATTTCGTTTTGGTACCATAAAACTGTAAGTTCCTTCTTAAGTGATTATATCTAACATTTAATGTAGTGGGATCTTTGTGGAGCAAATCCCTGGTGTATTTAATGTTTGTATATACCTCTCCTAAAGAGAACACAGATATCACAAAATAGTACTTCTAACCAGATATTAGTAAGATGTGACAGGAGGAGGATGACAGTCCTGAGATCTTCTATTAAGGGGAGGCATTGTGGATTTGGCTGCCTTTTTTGTTTTTCTGTTTTCTTTATTACCATTTGTACTTACAAATAGGTATTTGCAACCCTCCAGAAGTAAATGCTTATCATCATCATTATTTACTGCTATTAATAATAGCAAAAATAATATACAGGGATCTTTGACATTTATGGTAATATACAGAGAGCTTTGACTAACAGAATACTTTCACAAAAAATGTGTAACATATTTTGTGAAGTATACTTGATTCCAATAGTGACATTCTTTTTAGAGACAGATAGTAATTATACATATGTAAATATATACCTATATAAACACTATGTATACACACATGCACAGTTTCTTACAATTTTTAAAAATGCTCAGGAGTTAGCAGTATCAATCATTTTTCCTATGTATTATTTGTTTCTATTATTTTGGAAATAATTATATCTAATATTCATATAACATTTTTATATGTCAAGCTCTCATCTAATCCTAATAATAACCTATTAGGTAAGTACATACTATGATTGTCTCTATTTTCAGATGAAGAAACTGAGGCACAGAGAGGTTAAACAACCTGCCCAAAGTTACACAGCTATTAAGTGAGCAAGCTAGGATATGAACTGTCTGTCTGAATCCAAAGCCTAGAATTTGGAGCTAGAAGACATGGATTTGAATCCCAGTTCCAGCTTCAGTTTTCTCCTCTCTAAATGGGAATGATGATAACATCCACCTCACAGGATTTTTAAGGGACAATTTCTAATAAAGTATGTGAAAACACTTTGAAAATGGTACATATGCTATGATGATTAATATATATATGTGTATATTCATTTATACACACTATGACTATGAGGTAATCATACTGGTTTTGTGTAATTCTCCTTACACATTTTCAGACACATTATATGATTCTATTATTCTGTGCATTTGTTTTCTATTTAAAATATGTTTTAAGATTTAAAATATATATTATATAAAGAGACTTAGTGTTGCCAAGTTTTATTTGTATCATTTTATGTAAAAACACATGAAAATATTTGAAGACAATTTTTTTGGTAAATGTACCTAAATTTTTATCTTTGTAGTCATCTAACTATGTATGTACACATACATATACATGTACTATGTTATATTGAAATTATAGAACTTAGGTAATAAACATATTTGTGTGGGTCATGATATACCTATATGTGTATGTGTGTATTAGTATTTCTGTTAAAGTTGAAATAGAGCTGCTGTCCTAATAAAATGAATTAAATTTGTTCGAGTGAAAGATTTTTTTCTTTAGAGTCAGTAAATTGTAATCTGAGTAGTAAATTTTAAAAGGATATCTATTCAGCAACTGAATAATAAAGTCTATCTAATTTAGACAAAACAGAAAAAGTCCTCTGAGTATTTAGATGGGTGAAATGTCTGAAATATGAGAATGGTTTCAAAAGAATGCAACTTTTAACATTTTAGTACAAAGGGTGACAGAAATGAGGCAAACCAGAATGTAATAGAGGGCTTCTTTTTAATTAATGCATATAAATGGTTTTTGTAATTACTGTGCCAATTTTCAGGATTGCCAGCAACTGTTTACCTTTGTTTAGTAACTTGAAATTATTTTTACTTAATAGATGTATAATCTCTAATTTTTCAGATTTCATATTAATATTATACAGATGTTTTAGATTGTGAGATTATTAAATAACCTAGCAAGGATGGAAATTCAGTTTGTATTTCTATTTATTGATAATTAGAATTGAAGTTTGTTCTTACTAAAATTAGCAAGTGAATGACCCTCACAACATAACTACAAACCAAATTACAGGCATACCTCATTGATATTGTGGGTTTGGTTCCAGACCATCATAATAAAGCGAATATCATGATGAAGTGAGTCAAAGTAATTTTTTGGTTTCCCAGTGCAGATGAAACTTATATACTGTAGTCTATTTTATAATAGCATTGTGTCTAAAAAATGTGCATACTTAATTAAAAAATAATTTATTGCTAGAAAGTGCTAACCATCATCTGAGCTTTCAGTGAGTCATGATCCCTAATCACAGATCACTATCACAAGTATAATAATGAAAAAGTTTCAAATATTGTGAGAATTACTAAAATGTGACACACAGACACAAAGTGAACAAATGCTATTGGAAAAATGGTGCTGATAGACTTGCTCGATATAAGGTTGCCGCAAACCTTCAATTTATAAAGATGCAGTATCTGCAAAGCACAATAAACTGAAGCACAGTAAAACGAGTTATGCCTGTAATAAATTTGTTAATGGAATCTTCTGCCTCAAATTTAGGACTTTAGCTTCACTAATATATGAAACTCTTTTGGAAAAATATTCACACATATATTGTGGGAGTTAGGTAATTCTCTTTCAAATTCCCCAGAAAGCCAATGCTGGCTAATAAAATTAATCAATTGCTCCAAAATTGATATAAATCAACATTGTATAAGTCTGCAATATATCATAATTTCACTCCTGTTTTCATCTTAACCTTAAGGGCATTATAAAAGGGTTATTACTTTTTTCAAATTAATTTTCTAGGAGTTGCTCGATGAACTACAGAAATTTCTGGAAACTGAAAAAGATGAATTAATTTCGGAAGTTCCAAACCCACCTCCTAAGAAAATACGACTACAAGAACTAGAAGATGGGATTGATGGGATTGATAATTTAAGTCAAAATGGAAAGGGAAGGATCTCCGTTATTGAAGATGGTAGCATTGCTTCCAAGAACTCAAATTTAAATGTGTGCAATGTATGTCTAGGAATTCTTCAAGAATTCTGTGAAAAAGAGTTCATTAAAAAGGTAAATAATCTATTTTTTATTATATGTGCAATTATGTAGAAATTTTTGGTCTTAAAGCCTAGAATTCTTGTATCTAAAGTAACAGTACCATTCATTTCAACTTGTTTTACACCAGTGGATCATTAAAACATTTCTTAATTAAAAAATAAACAAGCCTACTATTCTCAAATTACTTTTTTATTAACAAGATAACTGAAAATTAATGAAGTAGGTGTCCATGTATTTCAGTCATGAATGCTACTCAAATGAAGAAAAATATAGTGGTTTTTCCCTCTGCTGTTTAACATAGCTAACTAAGGAGTTAGAGAAAAGCTCTTAGTCATACCTTTTAGTGTCTTGAAAAGACAAGTGTTACAGTTTTATGGAAGATACATGATTGAATGTGGGATTGCCTTTTGTTTCCAGCTGTCAAGAGTGCCAAATTTGGCTTTATTTTGTTTAAAAATCTTAAGCTATGAGGTGATCTAAGAGAAAATTATTTTGACATTCAACAGATTGTTCTGCAAGTGAGTCCTGGCTGTGTTGGCATCTCGTGATATCAGTCTTCAGGGTCTTAGTTAGCAAATGCTTGCTTTTGGGATGCTTATGAGAATTCCCAGAGGTGAAAGTTTAGAAGTGTAGTGCCATCTCCTGGACCAAAAACCCATGTTATGAAGATTGGTGTAAAATTTTCAGGGCGCCTGGGTGGCTCAGATGGTTAAGTGTCTGCCTTCAGCTCAGGTCATGATCCCAGGGTCCTGGGATCGAGCCGCATTGGGCTCCCTGCTCAGCAGAAAGCCTGCTTCTCCTTCTCTTACTCCCCCTGATTGTTTTCCGTTTCTTGCTGTGTCTCTCTCTGTCAAATAAATAAATAAAATAAATAAATTTAAAAATAAATAAATAAGTAAAATTTTCAGCAATGCATGAGAATTTATATATATAAATGCTGTTTTATGTAATAAAAAATGCTTTTATGTAATACTTTTTTAGGTGTGCCAAAAAGTTGAGGCCTCTGGGTTTGAATTTACCAACTTGGTATTTTCAGTCTCCTTTCCACCACAGCTATCTGTAAGAGAGGTAAGGTCATTTAAATGCATAAAACTATATGTGAAATGCATGCTAGAAATATCTCAAAAAAGGAGACTTAAAATTTTCTGTACCATATTGTATTTTCCATTTTTTTGGGTACTTATTGAATGATAGATGACTGAAAGCATGGCACTATTATAGCTGCTTAATAATGTTGAATGAATGGGTGAGAAAAGGAATTATTTAGTTTATCATAGGACTGGGTTTTTTGTTTGTTTGTTTGTTTTAGTTTTTAATACTTATTGTGTCAGCAGGATTGAGAATATCACATGGTTCATTCTTCTATGGGAAGTTATGTAATAAAAGCGTAGTGCCTTTGGGCATGAAAATCCCAAAGGTCAGGAGTCCTCTAAAGGTAGAGATTTCAGAGAATTTCTCTTATTTTCAACATGTAAACTGACTAGTTTAAGTCACTTTTTGAAGACTTAGTGAAGAAAACAGTGCTCCTTATGCCATTGAAAAGACTGTCTTTTTTTTTTTTAAAGGTCCTCATTCTATAGCATATATTCATTAAGCTTTAGATCTGTATGAGGCATGTTGGTCAGAGAAAGAGATTTGACCAGAACTTCAGAGATGTTTTGGGGTAGATGTATGCATGTTATAATGGTCCGGGTATAGGGTCATTTCAGTTATGATGAACATTCTTATTTTCTGGAGTAAAATACAAAAAGTTGGCACCCCTTTTAGTCAACAGGAAAAGGGAAAGAAATAGCCTCATGTTTATTTGAACTTTTTTCCTTTGTTAAGTGAAAAAAATAATAGTAGTCATTACTGTAACATTCTTGTGTGTCAAAACGGACATGAATACATAAAACTGTCCTATAGGGAAAATGACCTTTGTAATTTCAAATTACAACAATGAGTTCTAAACATATCCATTTATGTGTGTAAGGTGTCTTTTCCCTAAGGATCTGAAAGCATCACTAGAACATTATATCTCATACCATCACCTTCTTTGGGTGAGCAAAATATGTTGGAGCAAATAATAATGTTTATTAGCCCCCAAAAGGCTGAAGATTGATTTAAAGACCTTTTGAAGCTGGATGAATGATAGAAAAGAGCTGGGAAGTGAAAAAGAGTAGAATGGTTTTAAGTAATATCTCTGTCCATGGTAAGATGATGAAACAGAAGAAAAGGGATCATGATGATGTACGGTTTATAAACACATAAAGTCATTTTCTAGTCAATCATCAAAGCATTTCTCATTGATAGGTCATTTTCAGGGTCCGATTTTGGTAGCAAGAAACAGACTTCTGAAAGCTAAGTGGCTCAAAAAGTTGCAGTGTTTAGAAGAAATAAGAAGCATATTTTCTAAGTGTGGTTATATATCTTACCACCAAACTCTTCCTCTGAGTTTATATTTTGACATTAAAATTTGTATTTTCCATTTTTATCACTTAAATGATGATTTTAACATATCCATTTAATATTTATTGAATACTTATGAAGTGTTTATATTCCATGTTAGAAATAGAAAATGCTATTTTAAAAAAAATAGAATTATAAACTCTACTTCTTGTAACTGATTTTAACCCCTAAACTATTTAACAGAAATATGTGACTATTCCAGTTATTGGGGAAGTAATACATTGCCACAGTATAGTGTGTTAAGTGACTCATTGTTTTCCTTTGTATTGAGTAATATATTTTTACTCATTCATTTCTTAAGTATAATAATTATTCAAAAAGTACACAGTGTTACACACCATATACAATTTTCAGAACCCAGATTTCTTTAGCAAATTGTGTTTATGGTTCACTTTGCAATTTTTTTCCATTATTATGTTTTATTACTTTGTTTTGTTTTAAGATTTTTTATTTATTTGATGGAGAGAGAGAGAATTTGTGTTTCTAACAAGCTCATGGTGAGGTTGGTACTGCTACAACGGAGCACACTTTGAGAACCACTGTCCTAAAGGATAATGGCAGAAGTAATCTAGTCTGATAATAAACTGCTAACTTTTTAAAAATTTATACTCCTGATAGGAAGAGAGAAACAGGCATAATTAAATGTATCCTATACTTTTTTTTTAGAATAAAAATTCAGTTTATTCATCTGTTTATGACACAGTACACAAGAGGCGAAGTGTTTCATATCATAGATTTCACTTCCAACTCTTTGGTATGTTTCTTTGGCTAAAAGGAGATTAGACATGAGAGGCAGGCAATGCTTAGGCAACTGAAATAAGGATGGGGAGGGGCGATGCTAATCTCATCCTTGCAGGGCTATTTTCTAGAACTGTTAGCTGGAAACAAAGGAGCACCACTCCTGGATGTTCATGCTGTCGTGGGCCTCAGTCATCCCCGCCACACAGGTACAGCAGTGCTTTCTGGCAGTCACCCTCATGTCTTGCTGGATGCAGTAGTACAGGGACTTGCTGTACTTTCTCTTGAATTCAGACCTAATTTTCAACATGTCCTCTTCACTGCAAGAGATCATGATAGATCATGATTCTTTTTTTTTTTTTAAGATTTTATTTATTTATTTGACAGAGAGAGGCACAGCGAGAGAGGGAACACAAGCAGGGGGAGTGGGAGAGGGAGAAGCAGGCTTCCCGCGGAGCAGGGAGCCCGACGTGGGGCTCGATCCCAGGACTCTGGGATCATGACCTGAGCTGAAGGCAGATGCTTAACGACTGAGCCACCCAGGCGTCCCGATGGATCATGATTCTAAACAGGACTTTATTGCGAGTCCCCTTGCCTTTCATGGAGTCGTACAGTTGGTCAGCAAAATACAGGGGCTTTTTCTGAATGCTCTGGACCCGGTTCAGGAAAGCATTTCCTAGGTCTCCTTTGACCTCCTTGGTGCTCTCCAGTATGTCATAAGGGCTATAGCTCTTGTACCTTTCAAATACTTTCTGGAGGTGACACACACTCTGCTTGGTCATAATGCTGATCCACTTGGGCACATCAGTTCCTTTCCTCTTCACTCCAGCATCATAGACATCCCAGGCATCTTAGTCAATCAGTTCATAGCCAATGACAGAGTCATCCTCTGCTCTTCTGCCATTTGCAAGGGCAACCATCAGCTTGCGGAAGTCACCAGATGTGTCAGAAATGATGTCCTTCTCCAGATCAGTCTTGTACATTTCCTTGTAGACTCTGTTAATTTCCTGATGCTCTTGGTTGCTCCTTGAGCAGATGATCTCAGTGAGGGAGTCTTCATCAGTCCTCAGCCCCTTCATGGAGGCTTTCAGCTCAGAAGCATCATACAGAGCAGGTCCCCTGTGACTGGGCCCCAAATCACATTCTTTAGGTGGCTGGACAAGGCTGACGTCAGTGCTGATACAAGTTCTTTTTAGATCCTCTGGTAGGCAAAGGCAATATCCTGTCTCTGTTCATTGCTGTGGTTGGTCAAAATGTTGACAATGGTGACCTCATCCACCCCTTTGGTCATTTCAGTGATGGCCATTTCAATGTTCAGAGCATCATACTCAACGTCAAAAATCATGTACGCTTTGACCAAACTGTATGCACTTGGCGTGGAGTGATCACCCTCCAAGGTGAGCCTGCAGAGAATTTCGTGAACAGTAAACAGTTTGAAGCTGGGCCAGGCACCAAGAGCTGCAAGCACCCCAGTTGTGGAGCCTTTATCCTTCATTTTTGATAGGTTGATGTCAAACAGTGCAAAGAAAAAGCAGTCAGAGAAAAATGGCAGAGGAATCTAGGCTGGAAGATAAATTAAAAGGGTTGGGAGGTTCAGAGAAAGTGCAATTCAGACTTTATTTAAAACCAAATTACCCCAACTGATAAAAGAAAGTTTAAGGATCAAAATACATCCCAATGAAGAAGAAATCGGGGCATCTCTTTCTCTCTGTGTTTACATAAACATTTGTATTTATATATTTATATATGTTTATTTGACTTTTTATTTTGAAAAATTTAAAAAGTAGTAAGACTAGCCAAATGAGCCCCTGTGTATGTATCATCCAGCTCTAATTGTAATTTTTTTGCCAAACTGAAATCAGTTTCCAAAAAAAGATACACAAAAGTCAGAGTAATGCAAATGTAAGAAGGAGGCTTAGCTCTGTAATAGCAACTGGAAAATAAAATCTCAAATGAGTAGAGGCTTGTAAGAATTGCTAAGGAAGACAGGCATACTTCAAGTTATGCTTATAGCAAGAGATGAAAAAGGGGATGTATTTGGAACTGATATTGTTGATGGATGATACAGAGAGTGGAACTTAGAAAATCTTATTTTGCTTCTGTCCTTTCTGTCAAGGAAAATGATCCTCAACCTAAATGGGTAGACTGATCATTGATTGGTGAGAGAGAGTGAAAGCTCTGCATGGTGAAGCTTCTCTAAATGGGTTCAGGTATTCGGGACTGAATGAATGACATTCCAGGATGGATTCAGAAAGAACTTGCAGTTGTTGATGATCTTTGAGAGCTTTTAAAGGATAGCAGATTTTCCAAATGACTGGAGACCAAGAAGGCAGTTTCAATTTTCTAAAGGTGGTTTTGTTAACTACCAACTGGTGAGCTTGACCCTAAAACCCTGGCAAGGTTCTAGATCAGGAGCTAAAGAGTACATTGTAGGCACTGAGGAACACTTGGTCAACACACTGAACAGATTCATTAAGAACAAATTATTTCTGCATCATTTTTTCCTTTTATAGGCTAGCAGGACTGGTAGAGCAGGGAAGTAGGGTAAAGCACCAGTATGACTGGAATTCAGCTAGTCATTTGAGCAGGTTTCTTTCGTATGATAACTTTCTGAAAGTGGGCAAGAAACATGAGCAGAATGTGAAGACATTTGTGTGGGTTGTACCTGGCTGGCCATACCCAAGTGGAACTGATTAATAACTGATTTCAAACTGGACAGTGTTTCTCCAAGTGTACTCTGCAGATCTGAAACTCACTTGGAGAAAAGTGTTGAAAGCAGATTGCTGAGCCTTGTCTTAAACCTCCTAAATCAGAATCTCTAGATATGGGGCACAGAGTTAAAGTACACATTGAAATTCAAGAATGATGGAACTTCAGAGAGA